GATGTCACTTTATAATCAGCTCAAAATAATTCAAGAATTGACCGTAATTAGCTTTCTGAAGAAAATGTAATTGGTATAAAACAGATGTAAAAAGGAATTCAATTAAAACATGAAATGACTGAATAAGTGATAAACTTAATTTGATTTGCTTTTATGTAATATTATGCACCATATTGCATTTATATTATATTTGATCAACCAGTTTTTTACATTAACTGTTAGTCTAWTTTGGATGTTTTAAAGTTAATTGTTTTAGTTTCTGTTTGCTTTTTTTTATTTAGTTTTCGTTTTCATTTTGACCACATTTTACATAGYTTTCTTTTCATCTTTTCCGCTGATTATTTTTCCAGAAGATCAACATCTCGCGTGTTTTAATTTCGGGATTTTAAACCTGATATCGGAATAAATTCACATATCAACCTTCGTGCACAACCAACAGCAGCAATAAAGCACATGTAAATAGCAAAATCCGAAAAAAAAAAATTTTTAGTTGGAAAAGTGTACATATAATACCCAACCCTTGATAGMTACGCACAAAACTGTACGCAACKCGCGCATTAAACCGAKKCCAGGGACAGAGACAAAAATGAGCAAATCGGTTGTATTAAAAAATCTGTTTTTCCATAGTTTAATGTGAGAATTAAGTTCAAAATATAACGATTTATCATATAATTATCTATGAAATACCTATATTTCTCCAYTTCATAAAGTTGATATTTTCACTAGTGAAAATAACACATTCGAGGTTTCTCTATATAGYGGAAGTAAGAAAAAAAGGTATTTTACAACATTATTTGCTTTTATATGTTATTCTATGATAAAAAGAATATTACAGCTCGCTTGGAGATACGAATTTTATCTTCTCGTGTTGAAGATCTTTTCAACACTCGAAGATAAAATCCGCATCTCGGCGGGCCTATGTAATATCCTCTATATAACAATGGTAGCTTCTTTTTATCGTTCACAGCAAAAATTACAATTATTTGTGTTTAGCAGTGAATAAAGTACTTTTCATCCAGTTTGTGTCCTGACCTCGGTTTGATGTTCGCGAAGAGCACTTTGTCCGAATTATGGAAATTTTCCAATCTCGAGACTAGGATCTTTACATAGGCCGCCCAACTATTTCTTGGGAGAAAGCAAATAACGAACGCTTTTGTCGTATCGGCAGGCGCGCTTTGTGGATTACCTGTGGTATTACATCATACATGATCCCTTGGAATCAAAAATAAGTCTGTCACAGACAGGCAATAGTTGGGCGGCCTATGGATCTTTACGGCTAATGTCAGCTGTCTGTTGACGCCGAAAAGGGTGAAGTTTGAAGTACAAAGACTATTGTTTAACTCTGCTGAACACCAAGTCTGACGACTGATTTTCCGATTTTCCGATTGAGTATGTTGATAGCTTCCGTTTCCTCTCGTGTTTGTGTTGGCAACCTCTTTTAGTGTCTTTAGACTAACAAAAAATTGGAAAGAGCTTTAAAAACTTTTGTGTCATACTTTTATAAATATTTTATGCATTTTTTTGTAGTTATCACCTAAGATACATTTTCGTAATTGCATAAATCAAATATTTTTTCTCAGTTTAAGGGATTCGAACCCTTTCAAAAACACTACAGCTATGAATAGTCGCATGGAGATTTCGACTCCCCGCGCCAAGCTATCTGCAAAATGACAAACAGTTTTACGTTCAAAGCTAGAGTGGAATTAGTGTTCGTTTCCACCTAAAGCCATGAAAGAACGCATCTTTACCTTTAGAATATTATAAGATTTTAACAGGGAATGGCCAAAACAATACCAATGGCATGGAGAATTCCATTTTGGTAATCAGACACAATAAATTGATCGTTTCCAGGGCTCCACAAAGCACGCGCGGCCGCAGATATCCCATCGTCCATCACTGCACCAATGTACACTAARCAAGCAAATTTGTTCTGACTATCGATTGGTTTTTCAATAGAAAGAAGGTATTTTACTATCGTTTCGCTTATCTCTCTTCTCTCTTTTAGATTCTGTGCTTCCATTTTTGGAACTTCCGAGACCATCTTGATGGATTTTTCTGGGTAGCTTTGGGGACAACCTTGAAATTATGCTATATTTCGTAGTAATTTCCTGACTATTTTCGTCGTTCGGGCTTTTTGAATTCTGGAGTTTACGCATGAATTT